TACAATTTCAATTTGAAATATAAAGAAACTATATACCTCTACTCGAACAACTGAGAATGGTTTTCTGCCAGTTATGTGATTTAATGTCTTCTTCTTCCGAATTTCTTTGTTTTTTGTACTTTTTTTCTGTTACATATGAACACAAACACAAGATAATTTATTAATTAACAAACTCATCTTATGAGATTACGATAGAGATCAATAAACAATTTAAATGATACATGTGCCTTCCGAGTGCCCTAATAATAGACTAAGCTTCAACATTGATGCTCATGTACTCTTTCGGGTTGATGAGTTAACCTATCAGCATCATTGTTGAATGGCGTATACCCCATTTGTTTAACTCTAGCCTTCCACTCTCACCATTTTTTTCCAACAGATGCCAAAACAAATTTCTTCATTGACTCGTCGGCATCTGTATTGACCTGCAAATAATTGGCAACTTTGTACTATTGCATACACACAGCAGCAAGCCCACAGCAGTAGCTAACAGACCAGTATACACACAGCAGCGCTTATCTGCAAGCATTTTAATGCTTGTGCACAAACACACAAATAATGCACGTATATCACCCTAAACGATAGCTTCAATATCATTAAAAGTGATTTCAACAAAAAAACCCAACTCATTATCATCCAAAATGGTGAATATATTTATTAGTTCTGGCACCAATGATCATTTCTAAAAAAACCTGCCCATGAACTCTCAACCACAAATCTTGCTTTAAAAATTTTACAGCACAAGTAGTCCACTAAGACATTAAAAAATACAAGTATGAAGCTCAATTCATCAAGTAATAGCAATAAATTACAAAGGTAACAACTTTCTCCTGGATCTATAATAGATTTCACATTATCAATCAAAAACAAATTTCCTGGATCTATAATTAGTTAATTCTCACTTCCAATTTACAATTTGATCTCTGCAAGGCCAAGCAGGTAAGCTTTCCAAAAAATCAAAGCTTAAAATTGATCAACTATAAAATATGAAACAAATAAAATAAATAATAACAAATTAAGATTAAAATTGATATGTAAAATGAAATAATTCTTTTACCTTTACTTCTCTTCAAATTCTCTCTTTGTTTTCCTTCGGTACATGGCTCCAAGTTCTATAAGTGAGGGGCATAAGGTTCCCATCTCAAGCTAAAACACCCAAACGAGAAGCCAAGGGTGTATACCCGTCAACCACTTGGTTCAACTCATTAGGCACAGTATGTAAAATGCCACCACTTGGGTTCCAATCACTACCATGCATGAGTGTTGGGCCTCTCAAACTATGACCTACTCATCCAAATATCAATATCAAGTTAGAAGATACTAGAAAGAATGATAAAAATTGATAAGATACTTGGGTTCCTGTCACAAAACTGTCAAAGAAATTAATGTAATTGTCAACAAAACATCACATCATCGATAAATTATTCATTGTCGTCGCGAGAGGGTGACATTCAAGTGGGCCTGTCCATGTCAGTAAAGGTGTATTGGAGGTCTTAAATTAGAATTTTTCATCATAATTATTCACAAAGCAGAACTTCATGTTCTTCAGAGAGCCATAATAACCTTCAATAAATTTTTCTAGGAAACTAATACAAGAATGGAGGGATCAAGAGCAAGGCAATAAAATCACAAATGTGTTCTACAGCTATTTCATAACAAAAATTGGGCAGTCAATGAATGAAACATTTACATACAATGATCATCCATAGTAATATTGATCTCCTAATGTGTTCTATATACTGCTCTGCTCAACATTCATTGCTATATTTTCTGTTTTCCTAGAAATATTTATTCTAATCACTATGGTAGAATTGTTTGGTATTATGCTGTAACTGGTACCAAGGGTGGAACTAGGATTTTATCCTGGGGGTGCTGCCATAGCGAAGGCAAAAGGAGAGACTACGATTAACCCTGATCTGCGGTGATGACAGGTTTCTTCGAGCTTCAATTTGAGAGAGAGAGAGAGAGAGAGAGAGAGAGATCTAGTTCAGAACTGGCTAGTGTGTATGACATTGAATTTGAATCAAATAAAGATTATATACTATACCTAGTTTTTGTGTTTTAATCAAGGCTAGGGAATGCCATGGCACCCATTACTATACAACTAGTTTCGCCATTGCTGGTACCTAATAACTTAAAAATTATTTTTATCATTTTACAGCTCTGTGGACTCCAAACTGAAAATAGTCTGTTAAACTTGACACACTTTGTTAGAAATATGGAAAGGAAAAAAATGTATAAGAAATAAAGTGTAACCTTCCCTTAATTGTTTGTTTGGAAGTTATTATGCAGGACTTAAAATAGCATCTCATTAGCATCAAAATGATTCCATCTCATCCAATAATGCATACTCTTCTCTAATTGTATATTCTGCTGCAGGAAATTATTATTATTAGTAATTTGAAATCCAATTTCTTTCTATATTAGGAAGTATCAAGGCTTGCAAAAATGCAGCTTTGAAGTGTGATGAATTAAAATACAGCATGATACCATAGTTATATTGATCTCCTAACGTGTTCTATATACTGTTTTGTTTTCCTTTTTTATTTTTTTGTTTTCACTCTGCTTTGATCAAGTGTCCCAAATCAGTCCCAAATCATTGCAAAAGCAATCACCCCGATGCCCAACATGACAGTTTCAAGCATCATAGATTTTTGTATCATCTGCTGGTAGTGTAAATGACAGTTTCAAGCATTTGACTGGTTCTGAAGCATCTGACTTATAATCAACTGCAACTTCTACCATCAAGAGGCCTAGAATTGAGGTATAGTTTCTTGTTTGATATTTTCTTTAGTAACTTCTACCAAATTTCAATGTTAAAATGTCTTTTATTTATTTATTTTTTATTTTAATGTTGCTTTGATAGAGCAAATTTTATTTTTTTAGCACAACTACCATTTTCTACTTCCAATCATCATTCTTCTACCTACTAACCACTATCCCTTTTTTTTTGTCCCTCTATAAATTACAAGATCTTCAGAGCATACTAAACTACAACAATGAGCAACTTGCTGAAAACACTTATGTTATGTGGTTCATCTTCATCTGATGACGATGAGGACATGATGTTTATTATAGCACTGGAGTTTCAGAGGAGGCTAACTCAACTACGTAACCAACAAACTGAACGTGTTGGTTCTACTAGCAGTCGGCGACACACTCATCGTGGTAAAGTCTCTAACAAGAAAAGAAAGAGAGATCTTGTGGACACACATCAACAACAAAGTTCTCAAGAAATTATTCAGTCCTCTTCGCACTCCATGTCACCATCTCCCAGTGGTGATCCACACCAAACACAGCCCGCCACCCCAGCAGACACCGAAAAAAGCAGCACCAACGTGTAGGGCCGCATTTGGTAGCCAACTTCTAAGTTTGTTTTTGCACTATCCTCATTTGGTAGCCAGATGAGGAAAATGAGGTTGGTTAGTGTTGATTGTGGCATCTAGGTATGTTATATGTGTTGAGGCAAACTGAGGCAGCCAAGTATGTACTAATTAAGTTGGTTGTGACTATCAGATGGTGCACTGCCATCTGTTGTTTTTTTTTTTTTCCCTTTCTTGCAAATGTTTCCTATCCTTTAAATACAGCATGTCTGTTCTTTTGTAGTAGTAGTTTAACACTCTTATGTGTATGGGGGACTTCCATTGCAATTTGGTATGCATTTAAAGAAAAAGAACAAAAGAAATAAATAAATACTGAAATGAACTTTAGTTAGAATGTTATGTCAATCTTGAAACCCATAAATTATGTTTCAAGATTAAATTCAAGAATGGATTTATAAATTAAAAAAATTGCAATAGAAATTATCCAACCCTATTGGAGTACCACTGTTGCACAGGGGCGGTCCACACCAACCACAGCCCGCCACCCCACCAGAGACCGACCAAAGCAGCACAAACATGTGATCGGCTTTGGCAGAGTAGTTGGACTATATATATCATTTTTCATCTAATATTGCCATCTTTAAGCTTGTTTTTCTGTGTCCTCATTTGGTAGCCCAGATGAGGCAAATGAGGTTGGTTAGTGTTGCAACTAGGCCTATGTATATGTTCTGATTATGTGTTGAGGCAACCTGAGGCAGCTAGGTATGTTCTAATTAGATTGGTTAGTGTTGATTGAGGCTGTAGAATGATCATTACAACTTCTAATTAGATTGGACTATATCTTGCTGTTAGTTCATAACATAGAAGCCTTTATGGTTTCCCTAGAGGACCCCTAACATACTTGGTAATTAAATATTTGGGGTAGAGTTCCCCTTTTGCAAATGGAGTAGTGTCACTTAGTTTAAAAAAAAGAAATGTAAAACATCAAAAGAAAAAAGAATATTAACAAAGAAATCTAATGGAGTAATTCAATTGAATAAAATAATTCATACCAGCAGTAGTGTCATGTGTTGAACCAGTACTCAATGATGCACTAGGCAAGCTACCTGGAGGATACCATGACATGAGTGGATCAGGTATGATGCGCGTACTCTCCTCTGAACTCTCATCTGAACTCCCACTACAAGAACTCTCATCTGCACTCCCACTATAAGAACTCTCAGAATTTGCAGAGGCTGAATGTTGCCTCTGCCTAGAGCATCATCGATCTGTCATGCTAGTTTATAGAAGACCACAAGCATACATGTAGAATTTTATGGGTTAGCAATGAATACAAAGTACAATAGATACGATAGTGAATACAAAAACAATAGAATTTTAATATCTAACAGAATATGATATTGTAATTTTAACCAGTTCAACACCATTTTTGGCACAAAAGAATCTACTACATTAAGACTTTCCAAAATAGTAAAAAAATTTCTCTACAAATTTAAATTTTAAACACAATCTTAATATAACAGGTATGATCATTCTCAAGGACATAAAAGGATGTCTCAAGGACAATCACGTTGAAAAGAAAACAACTGACGCATTTTAAAAGCGAAGGTTTCATTAACATGAATATCCATGCTAAAAGCACAAATGTAACAATGAATATGAAACAAAATTACAATATCATATCATTTCTTTATCATCTTCAGATTGTGTCTGTGTCGATATCCCAAGAGGTCCAATAGTTTCATCAATAGTTGTTCCAACTTCACCTTGTCTAACCCAATTTATGTCCTCTTCACAAGCAAATGAAGTTGCATCTAACTCTTGGTCGCCAAATCCTTTCACTTCATTGTGATGTTCTCCATCATTAATTGGTTGTTCTCCACACACCTCATACAAGTCTCTAGGTTTCATCTTGACTACAACATCCCAATCAGCTCTAATGGGATCATAAACATAGAAAACTTGTTGTGCCTGAGATGCTAGGATGAATGGCTCGTCGCTATTTTGTTTCTTTGTATATAACAAATGATTGAAATTAACAAGTGTGAAACCAAACCCATCCTGCTTCAGTCCTTTGTTATTGTCAATCTAGTCGCACATGAATAGCACATATCTACGGTCGTATGAGTAATACAATTCAATAATATCTGTCACATATCCATAGTATGCTACTTTACCTTCCACGGGATTCATGTCTCTAGTACTTGCATAGCTACAAGTCTTTGCTTTCACCATAACCCCACTATTTTGAGTTTTTCTTCTCCACTCACGACTCCTCGTATGATACCTAGTACCATTAATTATATACCCACTGAATCTCGTGGCCTTTTTACTAGGTCCCAATGCCAAAGTTTTAATCTCATCTGACAACACAACATTTTCAATAGCTAGAAGCTCTTCAACCTATTTTTAAAAAGTTAACAAAATTAAACATTAACTAACAGAGAATTAAAAATTGAAAACATGAGAATTGAAAATTAGAAACATGTAAATTATTAGTACTTACATGAGAATTAAACCATCTGGGAAACTCATCATTGTGATGGCGATCCACATCAAAATCTTTGAGACGACGATGCGACCGCTTAATAAAATCACGATGTTCCCTATACATTTAAAGTACTTATAAAATGCAAGATACTTATTAATGGTATCAATAAAATTTTGGAACAAAGATTGTATCTTACTCTCGATATGGGACAACCGCAGCAGTGTTAAATAACACATACCGATGAGCTTGTACCCATGATGTGTCATCAAGAGCAAACCCTTTTCCTTTTCCTAAAGCATGACCCAGTAATATCCCAGGATTGTCGCTAACATCGTAATTCCTTATTGGTCGATTCAATTTTGACTCGACATTATCCAAGTACCTTGAGCAAAAGGTCATACACTCTTCAACTAAGTATCCCTCTGCAATTGAACCTTTTGGATGACTTCGATTATGTATATATGACTTAAGTGTCATAAGATACCTATAAACAAACAAATGCACACGACTTTTAATTATAAACAAACAAATGAATACAACTGTAAATTGGAGTAGAATTGCACACCTTTCTATAAAGTACATCCAGCGATATTGCACTGGACCGACAATCTTGGCCTTCTCTGCTAGGTGAATAAGCAAGTGCTCCATTATATCGAAAAATGATGGAGGAAAAATTCTCTCAAGATGGCAAAGTGTAAGAGCAATTTGGGATTGAAGACGATCTAACCCATCTGGCTCTAGAGTTTTGGAGCACAACTGGCTGAAGAAATTGCTTAACTCAATCAATGGTTCAACAACTTTCTTCGGTAACAAATTTCTCACTGCTATTGGAAGTATTTGTTGCATCAATATATGGTTGTCATGACTTTTCAGTCTAGATATGCTATGTTGGTTGAGGTTAACACGACAAGAAATATTGAATGCATACCCATCTGGAACTTTGATATTCTTCAGGAGTGTACAAAACAAACCTCTCTCTCTATTGTTCATAGCGAAACATGCAGGCGGCAAATAATACCTGTTCCCAACCCTTTTTTTAGGATGTAATGCCTTTCAAATTCCCATATCTTGCAAGTCTCGACGAGCATTTAAATTATCCTTTCCTTTCCCATCAACGCTTAATATCGTCCACAATACATTATCACACATGTTCTTCTCAATGTGCATTACATCAAGATTGTGGCGAATCAAATTATGCTCCCAATATGGAAGCTCAAAGAAAATACTCCTCTTCCTCCAATTATGATCCTCCTCGTTGTCCTCTTTTTCCTTTCCTAGTTCTTTTTTGTCTGTTAGTTGGTTGATGCTTAGGCCCTAGCTGTCGTAACACATTAGCTCCCGATAACTGAGTTGGACATGGTTCAAATTCAAAAGTTCCATCAAAAGACGCATCATCTTTTTGAAATTTGTGACTCGCTATAGACGTGCCCGCGTGAGGCCTTCGTGCTACAGTTCGGACTCAATTTGTGTCACGGTTCTTAATCTGAACCAAAGAGTCCAAATCCAGCAAATCGTTTTGAGAAAATAGATTTTTAGAAAAGAAGTGCCAAACATGGACTGCTTTGCCAGATACAGAGTCGCCACCTAAATATTTTTTTAAGGGGGAATTTAGGAAACCCTGACTCGGTGCCAAAGGCCACGTGTCCGTCATCACCAAAGTTGCCTCAGCTTCGGCGAGCTTAGGGTACAATTGGGAAGGTCAGCTATGAGCACCCCCTCTCGCCCGATCCGAAGATCGGCCTCTACTAACCGTGATATCCGTTTTTGAAAATTATGTGTTCTTATTCAATTTATTAACCTAGAATACTATGTTATGCGCGCAGCAAACAAGTATAGACCAAATCACCTAAATTGGAACAAACATTGCATGTTCGTTTTGAAGATGGTTTGCTACTCGCAAGTAGGCTAAAATGCAGATTTTGCCACCCTCGAGTGGGCTTTTAGAAAAGATGGTTTTGCCACTATCTAGTGGGCTTAAAAAATTCACAGTTTTAATGCATTATTCCAATTTAGGTAATTCAACCTCCATCCACAGGCATTTGAGCAGTTATATCACATAAGCAGCTAGCCTCATGGTAATCATGCTGTTATGGCAACACTCACACGCATGCGGTATGCTAAAGCATAAATGCTTACCGAGTACTCCGAGCCAAACAAAAAACTAGTTAGTAATCATATGCATGATCCTAGTTCATGTTAAGATGGCTAATGCAACACATGCAAAATGTAACTAAGATAGGCTTTGCTAATCTACAATGACATGTGAAATGTTACAACTAACACGTATTCAATTTGGAATTGAAATACAAATGCAGTTAGAATGATGCGCCGAGCCCGGTGCATGCAAGACAAATGTATGAATGCACGCATGCATAGCATGAGGTATGCTAAATTAAATATGTCCTAACACTAACCATAAAAAGCAGGTAAGTAAAAGGGAGAAAGAAGTGGGGGTTGGAAGACATGCACACACGCACCCACACTTTTTACAAATTTACCCTCGCTCGGAGACTGAAAGAATATTACAGTCCGAATAAATAATCTAAATTAATTATTACAAAATTCTAATTTAATTAATAAATTAAATGCAAATGGAAGGTGGCCACAGCCTCGCCTCGGGATGCGCGAATGATGCGTGCTCGATTTGGACTGCCGGGAAATTCGCTGCCATAGCATTGCTGCCTCTGTTTACACTGCCTAGCTCTCTTGAAAACTACACAAGTCTCAGGATAGGTTCTTTTCACACTGTGGAACACCACCGGCTGGGAGGGATGACCACCGGCCGTAGTAAATGCTCATCGGCCTTTGATAAAGCTATCGGCCACCAAAGGATGGCCGGTCGGCACTGTATGTGGCCGGTCGGCCAAAAATTCCTGCAGAACCTGCAGTTGACAGCAGCAGAGGGCAAGGCAGTGTATGGCATGGAATTTTGAGCAAATGTGAGCATGGCCACACTCCTTATCATGCAACGGGCTCAAGGGAGTATGACCCTCGACCCTCGGGCCATCATTGTGCATTTTGATGCATGATGTGGCCTAAGAGGCCAAGTTTGCAATTCAATGTGATGAATGCAACAAAAGAGATGAGTGCCAACACCCTATCATATTGAAGTCAAGGGCATTGGCTACCGAGGGTTGAGATGTGTTTCGTCACTTGGAGTACGAACACTCCTCACCCCTCAAGTTTGGTTTGACACCCCAAACCAAACAATGCAATGTATGTATACAAACTTGGCTCAAAGATGCGACATAAGGCTAAGATGCAAAACATGTCAAATGCAATGCAATCAATCACGCAAGCATGCAATGTCCAAACATGCAATGCAACTAGCTAAACAACATGCAAACATGCAAATGTAATGCAATGTAAGCATGCAACCAATACAATGTAACATGCCAAACATGCAAAGCATGCGAAGATGGACTTATACTGAAATGAGAAGGCCTCAGCCCACCCCAAAACAGTGGCCTAAGTGCACTAAGATGATGATGCCAATCATGCAAAATAAGCATGCAAACTAATGAGCCTAAGACTAAGGCATAAAGGCCAATTCTCAAGCATACCAAAAGAAGGCAAACATGGACATTAGACCAACAAAATCAGTGCCATGGCATGCTAGAATGAGCCCCAAAACCCGCACACATGGCATCCCAAAGACGTAAACACAAGGCATGCACAATGCTCCAATCCAAGGCATAAAAGGAGACTTCTTCAAGGCATGGAAGGAATGATAGATGCGAACATTTAAGCACAAAACATGGACTGATATGGTATGGTAAGTGATTCCAAATCACTGAAATAGCCTAACTAAGGCATGTTTATGACCCACACCTTTAAGGCTCACAAGCCAAAATGCATAGCAACTATATCAAACATGTCAAGCATGACCAAAACAGTAACCAACAGACCTTAAGCATGAAAAATAATGCCAAGAACTTTACAAAGCAAGATCAAAACATGAGAGCATGGCGGTCTAACGGCATGATGCACTTCTAGGCCAAATAAGGGAATACAAAGCAAATGTATTAAGCATGAAAGAGAGCACTAATCACCTTTTGAAACCTCGTCCTCCTCATCCTGAGTCAAGTCCAGGACTTGCTCATTCAGAGTTGGGGACTTGGCCCCAGCAAGAACTTCAGCATCAACCATCCCGGCCTCTTCATCTTGGGTTTCCTCTCATTTTTCTTCTTCTTCTTTCCCAGCCTTAGCCTCGGATTGGCTTGAAGCAGGAAGAAACGGCAGAACAAGTCAGCCTACATCTCTGAGAGGAGAGTCCTCGAGGATAGCCAACTTCTTCAGAGGAGCCATCCAGCCAAGGGTTTGCATGCCTCTTTGACTTGTTTTTTGTAGTCCTCACGGACGTTGGCTACCCCCTCGGCATAGGCCTTCTCGTCCGCCGCTTTGATCTCGGCGGTTTTTGTGGCCAGGGCATCTCGAAGTTTGGCTTGGGCTTCGATTGTTTTTCCCTCGGCCTCTTTCTTTTCGGCCTTGAGGACCGCAGCAATAGCCTCTGCAGCACCAGCCTTTTCTTCGGCTTCATCTTGGGCTTGCTTAGCTGCTTTGGCCTGATCTATCAAAGACTTCATTTTGGCCTTGGTTCTATTCAGTGACCTGAGCAAACCAGCAGCCTCCTTGGCCTTTTTGACCAGCTCCTTCTTCATTATATATAGAGAGAGAGTATATGACAGATGTATATATGTATAATCTCTATTTTTTTTTTTGTTCAAAATCTCTAACCCTCTACAATGGAAGAAGAGAGGTGCTTATATAGGCAAAAGAAATGGTTCTAAGCTTCTCAAAGAAGCTAAGTAAAAGGGGGCAAAGGGGGCAAGGAGGTCAAGGCTTCTTGAGGAAGCTAAGACAGCTGGCCAAGCTTCTTGAGGAAGCTTTGACAAAGGGTCAAGCTTCCTCAAGAAGCTTTGACCAAAAGGGGGCAAAAGGGGCAAAACAGCCACATGTTAGCCCCGGGGTAGGTTTGGTGTATTCCAGCTGGCACAGCTGGCATGCACCATGCCTGAAGAAGGCAAAAAGGTGTTACCGGCCAAAAAAGGAGGTTGCTGGCCAAACAGATAGCCGGCCGGCCATATGGAGTGCCGACCGGCCATTGTTATTAAGAAACCATGGCCGGTGTCAGCAATTAATGGCCGGTGATGCAAAGGGAAGGCCGATGGGGTGTGGGGATGGCCAACAAGCCATTCCCTACCCCTCAAAGCAAAAACACAAGTATTTGGTGCAAAACCAAACGCAAGACGAACAAGTTGAGAGATCCTGAGGCAAGGCACGCAACTAAGGCCTCCGGGAACTCAAAACGAACACGAATATGGATGATCACCGAGTGTCCCCACCAGTGACGTCCAAGTCTTGAGGACGATCAAAAAAGGGGTGTCTACACTCGCATTCAACCAGCAGCGATGCCCCATGTAACAAATTTTCCTTCCATTCTTCAAATACCGATGTCGAGTATGTATGTTACAACAAGGACAAGCTAAAGCACCTTTCGTGCTCCATCCAGACAAATTTGCATGTGCAAGAAAATCATTTATTGTCCACAATAAGATCGCGTACAATTGGAACATTTGATTAGTTTCTGCATCGTACGTCTGAACACCATTTTTCCACAATTCATTCAGTTCATCCACTAACAAGCACAAGTAGACATATGAGGTTGTTTCATGCACAACCACGGTGGCAAATTATAAGGCATCACAATAACTGGCCAACTGCTGTGAGCAACATTCATTGCCTTGAATGGATTAAATCCATCCGCTGCTAAACCTAGTTTGACGTTGCGAGGCTCACTCACAAACTTGGGATACAAAGTATCAAAATTTTTCCAGACAGGAGAGTTAGCAGGATGTCTTATTTTGCCGTCATCAATTCGGCCCTCTGCATGCCATCTCATTAATGAAGCAGTTTTGGATGACATGAACAATTTTTGAAGCCTTGGAATCAAAGGAAAGTATCTCACAATCTTCTGGGGAATTCTTTGT